ATGAAGTGTGAATGTACTAAAGTTAACAGCAATTTGGAACTATTGCATAGAATTCATGTGAATCTTGCAAAGTGCATCAACTTTTCTATCAGAAACGATGGAAATGATATTTGCTCATATTCCAACTTAATAAGGTGTTTTTTTTTAAATTTCATTTCTTCAAAATATGCATTTTTGCCTATGTGTCCAGACTTCTGGGACAAATTGTCTAATTCAAATCTTTGTAACATACTAATATTGAGTTAGTAATGAATGTCGAAATGTCTTTAGACCAACGGGAACCATGACGAGAAAGATGTTAAAAATCGTTTTCAATTTTTTCGACACCCTGGACCATAGTGTTCGTAACGTTAGATGTGTCATTTTATCGTCTTCATTAACCAACAAAAACGGCGAATGTCTGAGTTAAATTACATTTTCAATAAATTCACACATTTTAGGTATAAATAAGTATTTAGGCATACTCACCGAATACAATTTTTACGAAAAATACTTCTACAAATGCTATACAATCCTAATCGTGACTAAAGACTAGGCCAAAATTACTAGACTACCAAATTCATCCCACCTCATTTTTTATTTCTCGTTGACAAAGGAGACAGTCGTGTCCGAAAATTCCGAATTTAAAATCTCCCACCATTCTTGTATTGTTTCATGGGCTGACAAATATGCATCTTTTATTATATTTTTATTGTTTTTTTCTCTAAAATTTCTTTAGTCGCCTATTATGTCTACACACGGACACACACACACATATTATATATATATATATATATAAAACTAGACAATCGGAAAACAGTACTTAACCCTTGCTGATTGTCTATTTTATTCATCTTTGACTTGTCTACAGATATATACTGAGAACTTTCACACATATACGAGCTGTAACAGAAAAATTGTCCAAATCGTGTTTCTGCATAATTGTTCATCCCACAAAAAATTTAATATCTAAAAATAGCACTGAACTAATCGAGTTTCTTTTTTCTAGATTTTTAGATAAGACGCTTAGCCATCATGGCGTCATTTATCGTAAGAATCACTGAAAAGCCGTTTGAGTTCAATACCTGGCAACAGCAAAGATAAACACAAACTTCGAGAGATGAGTTACAAAAGAGAAATAATTGAAAATGAGATAGCCAGAAAAGATATGGCACATTGAACTAGAACAATCTACTCCAGTGAGGTAATAAAGGGTACGGTTCGAAATTCCAAAGTATATTTCGTCTGAAGAAGACCGCTGCGTACATTGGCCGAAACGTCGGGAATATGACAGTAAAGATGAGGACAACAGTCCGAAGAATGTAAATAGTGAAAAAATTCGGAATATAGACAGATGTTAAAGCAATGTTCCTTCTTAATATGGTGCCAAATTTTTCCGAACGTCGGTTAATAGACCTACTTTAATGGATGTAGTCATGTCCTGGTCTATTCTTTTTACTTTAAACTATATATTTTAAATTTGGATTTAGACCGGAAGTGTTCTCCGACTCATTTCATACCTTTTCATGAAAGAAAGCTTCAAGTTTTGTAACCAGTTGCATTATCATCTTGAACAATAAACAGTGACGTTCAGAGGTTTGATAATGCCCGGTTCTAACTCTGTGATTGTATGCCCCTAAATCTCAAGTAGTGGGGCCTACTCCATTCTCGCTTATCAAATCACGGATCCACATTCCCGCCAGCTTGTGAGACTTTAACGCGCTTGTACAACGAAGTTAACAGAGCTTAAAACTTCAAAACTAAAATTTTATTTCATTATTAGATAGGATGCCCTCCCGATATGGATGCCCGGGGACCTTGAACCATCTGCCCCCTTCGGCACAATACCGATCATCACGAAACCAATTTTCTCTGGAAGGAGAGAGAAACTCATATAGGATTTCAATGTAAATATGCGCATTGAGATAATAGTTGCTATATCCCATGATCTTTTAAATGACATGTGGCGCCAGATAATTAATAGCTTGGGAAATGTACTAGTTTTCTTGAGGCAAGAATTGTTATGTTTTGTTTGAATGGGGCCAGCTTCATTTCTTTGGCCAATGCAGTTTCTTGATTCATCATTGAATATCCCTTTCATATAATCATCCATATAACATAATTGTTTCTCTGCAGTCAATTTTAACATCGTTTTCTTCTTTCTGCGTCCGACCGCTGTTCATTTTTTCTTTTTTTGCATGCAATTTCCATTTTATTCAGACGATATCATACAGTTCTGGCCAAATCATTGGCTCCAGTTTAGACCCATTTATTTTGTTGCACACTTTCTATTTTAAAGTCATATTGCTGAGAGTTTTTTTTTTATCTCTTAGTTTACCGGTATATTTTACTTTGATAACCATCCAATATTTGCACCAGTTTTTAAAAACATGACTTGGAATAATCTTTCTTGAATGAATTGTATTGTTCTATCAATTGTTTTAATTGTCAGTTTTTTTTTTCTTGAAGCCACGTTCTCTTATAATTAGGTAATCCTTACTGCTTGTTGACGTCTAGTAAACACGCTTTGAGCTGTAGACTGTTTTTCATATGTAGGATTCTGCTGGCATTTGTTTTAGAAATGCAGGTTACAAGAATAACCATAATTCTTTCTTCAAAACTGGGTTAGTCCATAATATATTGCACTACACGGCTTGGAAAAACTCTACCATTCATTTAAATAATTTAATATAATTTGTTTAAGGTATATTTTATGAAGAATGTATAGCAGTTAGTCATAAAATAACAAATGTTTTGCTCTTGGTTAATGCTAAGAAAATATCTATTTAATTGTGCTAATTTTATAATTTCTGGCAGGTAGTGTATAGCCAGAACTGTATTAATGATCATATCACAGTAAAATTACACACACAAATACACACACACACACACACATATATATATATATATATATATATATATATATATATATTATATATAGCATTTACCTAGGAAATTGCTATAATCATCTTGCCAAAACATGATATACTCCTAGACAATTACATGCACGAAAAGAAATTTATACTACAACCACTTACAAAATCCTCTAATTAAAATCACGAAACCTAAGTCCTATAAACTTTATTTAAAAAAAAAAAATTAAAACTAAATAAATATATAGAAAGGAAAGCATATAAACAAAATATATAAATGAATAAAAATGAATATTAATTAAATATACAAATAAAACGAGTATTAGATCATGACCATAAACCATACATATGCCCAAACATTAGTCCCAATTAAAAGAAAAAGGAAAGCCTACTTTCCTCCTTCGTCCACTTTCTCAGCGGATGAGCTGTAAAACCCGCTCAAGGAATAGGGACACATCATGTCTAAAGTCTGGTTAATCCGCAAAATTGACAGTTACCGTGAAGTGGTTATTCCTACTCCCACATTATCTATATTTATGAACGCTCTGTTACTGAAAACCTCTTCTATTGAACATATATCACATATTAAACAATATATATATATATTCGTCGAGCCTAGAATATTCATGAACAGAATGCAGTATTCAGATAACCTCGCGAGAGTCCCCTAAGTAGTCGTGGCTCATGGGGCATTGTTCCCAGTTTATTCGTGTATTGGATGAGTATCGCTGCGGAACTGAGTGAGTAGCGGCGCTATATAGAGTTTAGTTTGCGTCTTTTTCGTCACCGAGGCCCTTGGTACAGTTGGTATGCCACTTGTTTTGTACTGAAATGGTCCGGGTTTGATTGTTGCTAGTGGATGCGCACTGCTGATGAGTCTTAGAAAAGACGAAACGTCCGTCCAGTGCTTTCTGTTAAGGATTATTTTAGGTTCGAGGAATTACTATATGATTAGCCAAAGTCCCCAAAATAATCGCTTAGATGTATGAAATGACACATTTTGGGGGTTGGTTGTTGAACTGGACGTCTAAACATGTAACCTCCTTTGAAAAGAAAAAAAAGATCCTGACTCTTATTTTTATAAGATACTTTTTCAATTAAAATATTTTTTAATCATAAGCTTAATGAAAATGGTGTCAATGAAACAATGGTGAATAATCTTACTGTATGAGTACAAACTGGGAAAAAGAAACATTTCTGCATCGAATCATTTCACCCGATGAGAAATGGATACCCTTTGACAATTGTAAGACACTAAGCCAATTGTTCGATGCAAGTGAATCATCAAAACAATACCCAATACCTTCCACTGCACACTAAAAAGTTAATGGCTTCTGTATGGTGGTCTTTCAAAAGGGTTATACATTATTCCTTCAAAAGAAAAAAATAACAGCAACCTCGTATTGTGGAGAAATTGAATCTATGCACGAAATAGGAAAAAGAAATCTCTTTGACTTGTGAATGGGGATGGCCCAATTTTCTTGCATGACACCGCACGGCAGCACGCTTCTCAATCAACTGACCAGATGCTGCATAGCCTGAATTATGAAATTCTGACTCAATCTCCATATTCACCTGTTATCTCTCCTACTGAATATCACTTATTTAAGCATTTTGAGATTTTCATACGCTAACATTCTGCAATAAGAAAGATATAATTGAAGCATTTGGACTGTTTAGCGCAACAAAGGATAATAATATTTAAAGAGATGAGATCAAGAATTTAGAAGTATGTTGAAAAGCAATTTCTCATCAACATCATGCCCATCTCAACTAATTAGTTATTTAACATTTTAGAAGCGTTTCCTTACTTTCCTATGAAGTGCTTCATTTCATGTGTCAACACACACACTATATATATATATATATATATATATATATTAAGAGGAACAGAGTGAGAGAGAAAGGGGAAAGGAGGCGAGATAAACAAATATACCATATTGATATTGTTTATACAATTAATAAGTAAAGTTAATGTGATTTTCTAAATATTTTCTCGTAATAATTTTAATTGTAAGATTAATATTGTTAATCAAATACACACATGTGTGTGTGCATATGTGTGGGGAGCGTGTACAAGTTTGACGAATTTATAGATTTATTCTTAATTAAACATTTTCATTACTTCAAACGTTATTATAGTTTACACTATAAGATAGATAGATAGATAGATAGATAGATAGATAGATAGATAGATAGATAGATAGATAGATGAGTATACGGTGTAATATCTGTCTACGAAACTCTGGAGTCGGAATTCTGAAGTGACAAACCATTTACTTAGAGGAGGGAGAGATTTTACAAATAGTGGCTGCGGCTGCCAATGCAATGCTCATCAACTAGAATTGAGCTCTTCTAGACACTGACATCTTTTGTATAGTAAAAACGTGAATTTTTCTTTCTCTCTTCTCGATAGCTTGGGTGTAGTATCTCTGACTGATGCCAAATCGTTTGGGTTTCGATCCCGGCTGGAAACAATCGGCGGATGTCTAGTCAGACTGATTAGCTGTGATAGCAAAACAGTATGTCTGTGGATGTCTGTCTATATAAAGTGAACATAGAAGTCAACTCTTAGAGACAACATTCTGTTTCATGCTAGACACAATCATCAGGCCACTAGTGCTGTTATTTTCTCGGCTATATATATATATATATATATATATATATATATATATATATATATATATACACACACCTAGTGAGCCAGACAAACCTACCTAGGTTTCACCTAAACGGATCGTCAGGGAAAGTTTGGTTGATCCGTTTAGGTGAAACCTAGGTAGGTCTGTCTGGCTCACTAGGTGTATCTAGGTCTGCTATTGAGCTCTTTTTGTTAGTTAGTTGTTACTCGTATCGGGTTTTTTCTTTGGGCTTCAGACCTGCATCTGTGCAATTTTTTTGTCGGCAGAAGTTCATGTTTATAGCTCTTTCTTTTTTTAAAACCTTTTTTTTCCCTCGAGATTGATTTGATTAGCAAATCAAAAATTCGAGGGTTTTTCGAAACGAGTCTAGTTATATATATATATATATATATATATATATATATATGGGTCAGTGGTGCAATGTGGGTAGTCTATTTTGGCCGTTATTTTACTGGAAGTTGTTTATTTATTTATTTGGGTTAAATTATTTTGCTTATTTTTATTTATTTTTTATATTTATTTTTATTTCTTATCTTATATATTTATTTTATTTTTATTAGTCGGTGTTTTTATTAACGCAGTAAAAAATGCTTTATATCACTTATTTAATAGTTTTGTTTTGGAAGATAAAGCTATTTATTCAATTTTGAGGTTAATTGTTGTAGTTTATTCTAACTATTATTTTGGTGGGAGCAGTTTTTAATTTGTTTATTGTTTAATTTGTTTATTGTTTAATTTGTTTATTGTTTAATTTGTTTATTGTTTAATTTGTTTATTGTTTAATTTGTTTATTGTTTAATTTGTTTATTGTTTATTACTTGTTTAATTTGTTTATTACTTGTTTATTTGGATTGATTATCTTTATTTGTTTTTTCTTACGGTTACTTTATCGGGATTGTTTTGTTAGTCTATTTATTTGGATGAATTTAAATTAAATCATTTTACTTGCTTTTTTCTTATTTATTTATGATACTGTATATTTTTATTTACTCTTTTTATATTTTATATATCTTTAAAATCATACTTAACATTGACATAATTATCTTGGTGCGTGAATTTCACAATTGAATCCTATATCCCACTATATTTACTAATCTTTTCTCTAATATTGATCATTTTTCCCCTAAAAATAAAGCAACTTTTAAATTACGACCACACACAGGCTCACATATTGGTAGTGTTTACTTAATAGATCATGTAACAAAAATGATGTTTCCAATAAATACTTTTAATGATATTATTTCTAAAATTCATCTCGAAAAGAAAAAAAAATCCATAATCTCAGGTTTATATATGTATGTGTCTCTGTGTAAAGGCCAATATGTTTGTCTGTATAGAGAGAGGAAGAGAATGAGAGTGATAGTGAGTTTTATGTACTTAATCACTGAGTGAATTGCACTTGCAACATTTATGTAGGGCATTATTCGAACATCAATTATATCAATTGAGTGTATATCTGAAGATAAAGATTTAAATTGGTACATTAAATTACAGTTTAAATCATTGCATTTTATTCCTAGACGCAAAGATGTCCGCCAACTAAGTGGAGGAATTCACTCCAAGGAAAAGGAAGTATAAAAACTTCGTCCATTCTTCTGCCTTTCTGAAGTTATTTACAATTCTTAAATAGAAACGTGGTTTATATATTACTTTCTGGCTTAATCGATATTATGGCCACAGACTCTAAAACTCTGTTCATTCAACTGAAACGAAAGAAATATTTGTAAGAAGAGATAAGGGAATCAAAAAATAGTGCGTGGGCCAGCTCGTTAGACGTTCAAAGCTTAACGACCACACTCTTCTTGCTTAATATCCGCATACATTACCACACCATTTTTTATTTTCAAATGAACTACTCTAAATATCCTCTAAATATTTGCATCGACTACATTCATCTTAGTTTTTGTTTGCAAATATTTTTTTATCCACGACAAACGAATCGACCGAACTAAAGTGTATTATTGATCACCAGGCATCTTTTAATACTTGTAACATCGTCATTTGGATCATTAGAATTTTACAATAAATCGACCTTGTTAAGGTTATATAATGCCGAAAGTTTATATTGGAAACCCCGTGAGGGACGTAATTGTATATGTTTTGGGGAATGACGTTCTGTAATTTTCTAAAGTGGGGTGAAATGTAATCTCCAGACGTAGTGATCAACATTATCCTTTGAAATGAATAACAACAAAAAATAATGTGTGCTTGTGTGTGTGTGTGTAAACATTCAGATATAACTAAAACCATTATCTGTAAAATAGATATTATATAAATATGACAAAACAAAAGCTAATCTTGGCCAACGCGTTTTGTCATCTGATTGGCTTTATCAAGGCAAATGCATTGGTTTGGTTTATTTTGTTTTACAGCATATCAACCTCAATGGCTTATCTAATGCCAACAGCATTTTTAGGATAGATTCGTATGAATAGAACATGTATTCTTTGTTTTAGATTGGTTTGGTTTATTTTGTTTTACGGCATATCAACCTCAATGGGTTATTTAATGCCGATAACATTTTTTAGGATAGATTCGTATGAATAGAACATGTATTCTTTGTTTTAGATTGGTTTGGTTTATTTTGTTTTACGGCATATCAACCTCAATGGGTTATTTAATGCCGATAACATTTTTTAGGATAGATTCGTATGAATAGAACATGTATTCTTTGTTTTAGATTGGTTTGGTTTATTTTGTTTTACGGCATATCAACCTCAATGGGTTATTTAATGCCGACAAAAAAATTTATTGCTGGTAATATTTTATTTTGTCAAAAATATGTTTCTGGTAATATATTTCCTTCAAAATAGTATTGCTGGTAATATTTTTTTCAAAATAGTATTGCTGGTAATAGTTAACTATTTGGCCATAGCTGGGACCCTAACAGATGCTACCACCCCAGGTCAGGGTGGACCTGGGAACACCAGGACGCGGACGTAGTTTAACGTCTTGCGCAGGACGCAAGGCAAATGTCAGGATTTTATTTAGCAAAAATATTTTTAAACGTTTTTCAGATTTTTTAAATTTAAAAACACACAAAAATATACTTTAGCCTACGTGGAAACAAGAATAAATTATTGTGGATGCCAAGTATTGGAACTTAATGTCTAGTAAATGTTATTAATATTTATATTATGTAATTATTATTTATATTTTATGAGTATGAAATAAATTCATATATTTGTCGTAACCTAGGGAAGATTACCGAATAAATTAATCAAACGAAGGTTGGTAATGAACGATAATAATTAGGAAATGAACAACGCATATAAGATTCGCTAGCGGCGCGTCGAAGAAATTGTCAATTCTCTAATTACGATATGTTCTTTTTTTCAATAAGAGCATTAAATAAAAGTAACAACAATATAAATATATATATATATATATATATAGCGAATGTGATTTCAGACCAAATGCTGTTACCGTTTTTTGGGGTTTTTTTTTTTTGCATATTTCCCCTATTTAATCTCACGCATCCATAGTTTGTTTTTTTTTTTTTTCATTTCTCTTTTTGTTCTCCTCGTCTGGCATCTGCCAGCGCAAACACTGATTTGTATTTGCATCTGTGCTCCCAGTTCAAATAGCCAACCACAATATATTGTCCTTATCAACGTGACTGAATCGACATGTCTCTAATGCCTTCCGTTCCTTAATTGTAGTCTGACCGGTACGAAGCCGAGGGAAGGCGGTTCATTGTTGAAACAACGTGCTTAGATAAGATGTGCAAGAAGAAGCCGATGAGAAGATATCATGGCTACTGTCATTTGGCTACGAATATTAGAAACTGGAGACGAAATGCATATTCACTCTGCGTCCTAACTTAGCAATGCATTCTGGGCGCCCGTATAATGTATATATTTATACCCAGGGAAATTCATGAATAGAAAAACGTTACGTTGCCTTCAGAGTTGATGCTTAAAAGCGTAAAAGATTTAAATTCAACACAAATTACTGAAGCAAGGGATAAATAAAAGGTCATAAGATTGGGTAGGAATCACACGGCATCTTGCCATTGAACAGTGGTTAGAAATCCAATAAGGCAAGCCATTACTCATGTGGTGCATTTCGGTCGGCACTGAGTAACAAACGTTTTATTAAGATAATAGTAGTCCATATCAACAATCAGGGAGGTTCAATTGTGCGTAAGACAGTATTGCATATCAGTTTTTTTTCCGTTATTCTGAATTAATGTTTACACAATGCAAAGCTGAGGAGTCAGTCAAATTAAAGGGTTACAAAATGATGCGTTTGATATGACTGGCGATTTAGAAAATTGCCAGTCATATCAAAAGCGGTGTTTAGATGTGACACAAGGCCGATAGTATGGGTCATCCAGTGAGGATCGAACTCCCTATTCAGTCATAATGAATATAAGAGTAGCAAATAGAAAGTGCATATTTTGAGGATAGGTAACGATTGAACCTTGGTTTGAAGAGATTAAATTTGTGTCTTGGCGGGGAAACACACGCGCAAGATTCGGTTTTATAAGATGGCGGGTCTTCGGAAATCTATGGGTTGAAAATATGAATTAGATCATTGTAATAAAAGACACGGAGCAGAGTAACCCAAATTAGGTTATATTCCTCACAAAAGGACAGTTTGTACAAACAGAACTACATTTATAAGCACGCATAGACCATTTTTAACAATGACGGGGGGGAGTACTGTTCACACAATCAGACCATTCACCAAGAAGGATGATGTTCCACTTCATTCATATTGAAAATGGCTAGCTATTCTTTTACAGAACACGTCCATCTGTATTGGCGGTATATCAGTACATGTTGCAGACAGATACTCTGAAACGTGTGTTTGTTCAGCAATCACTGAACACACCTATGTTTCTATAGCAACGAAGATTAGCGGGCCTTAGAATTTCTGGGAGAGACCGTATAATTTGGTATGATCAGCAGTTTGAACATTGGCAGTACGCTCAAACCCTCAGTCACGATGACTTGTGACTTCGTGCTACCTATTATATCCAGCCGAATTTTCTGTCTACCCAAGGTCACTTACAAAACCGTGCCTTGGAATTCAAGACATTTTCGAAAAGAACGATGCATATAACCTGTAGTTTACGCGGATCGACACCCACCTGATGAGGGCCGTAGAACATAACGGCCTAAAGGATGTGACAACAACAAAAGAAGAAGACAATAGTCCGCATGTAAATTGTACAAATGATTCTTATCCCAGAAATAAAAACCGAAATGTATGCATGGTGGAGTAATGGATACCGGATCGGTTTGAGGAATCGGAGAGCCGAGTTCGAATTCCAGTCGAATCCATTACATTCACAAAGGTGCTAATACCCTTGGGAAAAGGTATGAATCCACCTCCTTTTCCTCCTCCTCATCTCCCCCAACAGGACAGAACGGGTTCTATAGCCTTGGATGGCCGAAAGAAGTGGCAACCTACTGCGGGAATAAAATCTGCATCGTCAGTCATATATAGAAAGATACATGATCGCCTAAGCGTGTAAAACGCATGGCACATAACTATCACGTCTCCAGAAAAGTATTGACCTTTAGAGTAGAGACAACAAATGCTAATATATAATTTTATTTATTTCATAGATAAATAAATAGCTAGATAACTCGGTATGATATTGATATATAGATAGATAGATATATAGATAGACATAAGTAGAGACATAGATAGATGGATAGACATAAGTACAGATACATATATATATATATATACACACACAGATAAGTAAAGATAGATAAGTAGAGACATAGATAGACAGACAGGTAGAGACATACATAGATAGATAGATAGATAAGTAGAGACATAGATAGATAGATAAGTAGAGACATAGATAGATAGATAAGTAGAGACATAGATAGATAGATAAGTAGAGACAGATAGATAGATAGATAAGTAGAGACAGATAGATAGATAGATAAGTAGAGACAGATAGATAGATACGTAGAGACAGATAGATAGATACGTAGAGACAGATAGATAGATACGTAGAGACAGATAGATAGATACGTAGAGACAGATAGATAGATACGTAGAGACAGATAGATAGATACGTAGAGACAGATAGATAGATACGTAGAGACAGATAGATACGTAGAGATAGATAGATACGTAGAGACAGATAGATAGATAGATACGTAGAGACAGATAGATAGATAGATACGTAGAGACATAGATAGATAGATACGTAGAGACATAGATAGATAGATACGTAGAGACAGATAGATAGATACGTAGAGACAGATAGATAGATACGTAGAGACAGATAGATACGTAGAGACAGATAGATAGATAGATACGTAGAGACAGATAGATACGTAGAGAGATAGATAGATAAGTAGAGACATAGATAGATAGATAGATAGATAGATAGATAGATAGATAAGTAGAGACATAGATAGATAGATAGATAGATAGATAGATAGATAGGGTGGGAGACATAGATAGATAGATAGATAGATAGATAGATAGATGGATAGTGGAGGATAGATAGATGGATAGATAGATAAGTAGGGACATGGATAGATAGATGGATAAGTGAGATGGATAGATAGATAGATAGGGACATATGGATGGATAGATAGATAGATAGGTGGGGATAGATAGATAGATGGATAAGTAGGGACATAGATAGATAGATGGATAAGAGACATAGATGGATGGATGGATAAGTAGAGACATAGATAGATAGATAGATAAGTAGACATAGATAGATAGATAGATAAGTAGACATAGATAGATAGATAGATAAGTAGAGACATAGATAGATAAGTAGAGACATAGATAGATAGATAGATAAGTAGACATAGATAGATAGATAGATAGATAGATAAGTAGACATAGATAGATAGATAGATAAGTAGACATAGATAGATAGATAGATAAGTGGATAGATAGATAGATAGATAGATAGAAGGTGGACATGGATAGATGGATGGATAAGTGGACATGGATAGATAAGGATGAGACATAGATGGATGGATGGGGTAGGGACATGGATGGATGGATAAGTAGGGACATGGATGGATGGATAAGTAGGGACATGGATGGATGGATAAGTGGAGACATAGATGGATGGATAAGTAGAGACATGGATAGATGGATGGGTAGGGACATGGATGGATGGATAAGTAGGGACATGGATAGATAGATAAGTAGAGACATAGATGGATGGATAAGTAGGGGACATAGATAGATAGATAAGTAGGGACATAGATAGATAAGTGGAGACATGGATAGATGGTGGGACATAGATGGATAAGTGGGGACAGAGGGACATGGATAGATAGATGGATGAGTGGGGACATGGATGGATGGATAGATAAGTGGGAGACATAGATAGATAGATGGATGGATAAGAGAGACATAGATAGATGGATGGATGGATGGTGGGGACATGGATAGATGGATAGATGGATAAGTGGGGACATAGATGGATGGATGGATAAGTAGGGACATGGATGGATGGATGGATAAGTGGGAGACATGGATGGATAGATAGATGGGGTAGAGACATAGATAGATGGATGGATAAGTAGAGACATAGATGGATGGATAGATAAGTAGAGACATAGATAGATGGATAGATAAGTAGGGACATAGATAGATGGATAGATAAGTAGAGACATAGATAGATAGATAGATAGATAGATAAGTAGAGACATAGATAGATAGATAGATAAGTAGAGACATAGATAGATAGATAGATAAGTAGAGACATAGATAGATAGATAGATAGATAGATAAGTAGAGACATAGATAGATAGATAGATAAGTAGAGACATAGATAGATATGAATTACAGTCAAAACTGTTTCCTGTCTGTTATTACCTCCAGTAATAATTCTTTACGAGAAATAAATTCGCCAAGATTTATTCATTATTATTTATATAAAAAAATCAGAATGTTGTCTCTCGGATTGTTAGCAAAAATTTGTCGTTCGTATTTCCTTGACACTTCCTCTATACTCGGATATTCTGGGCAGGTTTTTTCTCCCAAATCCTTTTAAAATCTAAATATATTACGAAAGAGAAAAAATAGAAAAAAAAGAAAGAAAGAAAGACCGCAGAACAGCTATATAATATCAGTCCTCCTAGATGTCAGTAAATGTTGGTCAAATTCCTCACAGATGAAGAGAAGACTAGACGTGGTTCTACAGAAGGTTGCTGAGGATACAACGGACGGTACATATAATCAACAAAGGAAAGGCTAATGAAAATGGAAAAAAAAGGAAGGAAAATTATATTTAAATCAAAACGAGATAATTGAACTTTAAAGACATATCAAATGGAAAATATGATACATTGTTGGTATACATTATCGCAGTACTGTTTTGATTCATCATTTAATAAAATTTTATATAGTTCTTCATATATATAAATATTACAGCATATTTGATTTTATTACGTTGTATTATATATATATATATATATATCTTTATGAAGAAATATATTTTTAAGGCGTGCTATATTTATGTGATAGTGCTCAGTATCAGAGATAAAGCGTATGTAAATATAAAAGTGTACATTGAAGTTAACATTCAGAGGCGACGGGGCGCTGACGATTGCGTCTAGCATGAAACAGCCTGTCGCCTCTGAGTGTTGACTTCAGTGATTATATATATATATATACACATATATATTGTGGATTTGGGTAGCAATCCCTCTTTTATACAAGTTTCATTAAAAACGACTGATAAGGTACTGCGATTAAGTTATTTTATTTAAGTTTTCCTCTATCATAATTTCCTTTTTTTTTTTTTCATAAATTATGCAGAAATTGTCCGAATATGGTGTATGCTTTTAGATATTGTTTATCACGGATGATTTTATTTTACTTTAACTGAATGTATTACTGTTTTATGTATGTATCTTGAGTTACAGGAATCTTTATATATATATATGTGTGTGTGTGTGTTTGTATTTCTTTTCACGGTTGTCTTTTAAGATGTTAGAATCTTACAAGAGAATCGAGAAAATAAATAAAATAATTAACAACCTCTTCAAAATGGCTAAAGATGTGGTTGAAAGCGCTTGGACGATAGAATCAACGGGTCATTTATTTTTTAGTCCCCACCAAATTGAATCTATTAAGAATACTAGAAAAAAACTCTATAAAATATTCATCAAATGTTCCTTATCTGTCCCATTCAAGAAAACATTGTGAACGTTAGATTTCAATTACGAAAATAGGTACAAATTTTTTTAAAAAAGAATTTTGTATCTCATATTTCTTTAAAGAAATCGTCATTGGCAAGTTTAATTTAGTCACGTCGAATATTTATCAAAGTTCCGATAAATATCAATAAGAAGAGTTTAATTAAAACTCACAAAACATATGCTTTAATAATTGTAATGATAAAATAACAGCTAAATGAATAACAAGAGAACTAAAAGCGTATTGTATTGTCTAACCTGGAGTCTTTCTGCTTACGTAAAAATCATTGAATTTAATTTTAATTAAATGATGTAACAGATACCGATGTTATGAAATTTATCAACGTCTTCATCTCACTGTTAAAAATTGCTGAGGTGTTCATAATTAATTCGATAGAGATTTTAAATATCCAACTAAGCAAGCATGATGTTTAGTCAGGTATCTTTACAGGCCAATTCATCAGTTAATGAAGATACATCACATATAAATTGACAGTGAATTCTTGGGTCGAGGACACATTAATTTTATATGATTTTGAACAGATACGACTGAGGCCATTTTAATAGGTGATAGTTCTTCACTTCCGTTTCCGTTTATTTTTAAATTTCTATCTGAGATTACATATAATCATTATTAACTATTTTGGGGGGATTTGGTTGGCCCTTATCAGTCCATCTTGGGTCAACCTATAATCATTTTAAACAGTATAGGGCAGGAATAAAGTAGTAAATTTGGAGAAGTCGTGAAATCGGAGCCCATATCTTGAAAGCTCATTTTTCATGGACGCTGTATTAACCAATTCGGTCAAGTAATAATCTTGAATAGGCAGGGCATTGATTTCGAGTCATTCTACCTCTACCTTCCAACTGATTGTTTCGTTTAATCATTTTGATTCAGAACGATTATAAAACAGGAGTGTTTCAATCATTTTTGTTTATTATTATTTTTTTTTATTTTCTTTGATTTCTGGCGTTTACACATTTCTTTCCGAAGTCACGCCCAGAGACATAAGGTTAGAAATGGCATCATGATACTTTCCACAGACAAAAAAAAAAATACATAGATAAAGCCCTTCGTAAAGTGTGAGCTGTACTTGTCAGAACAATTTTTTGTATCGCTTTGAGGTATGGACTTCCAGGAATACCTTCAATTAGTCTACTGGAATCTTTTCCAACCAATCCTAGGGTTCCAACTACAACAGGGATTGTTGATGTTCCCATGTGCCACATTTTTGAGATTTCTATTTCAAGGTCCTCGTATTTTGACAGCTTTTTGAATATCTTCAAAGCTACATAGCAGTCTGCTGGGACAGTCATATCAATAAGGACGCACTTTTTTTTTGTTGTGGTCTCTAATGAAAATGTCTGAGCGGTTGGCTTTGATTGTTCTGCCAGTGTGTATTATGTTGTCCCATAAAATTGTAACAGTTTCTATCTCCGTAACTGGGTCTGGGTGGTGTTCATACCAGTTTCTTTCAGTTACCTTCTGTAGTAGTAGCAAATTTTCCAGTTTCAGATATTGGCCCACTCTGTCATGCCGGGTTTTTACTCAGTGGATGTCAATATCGTGCAACCTGATAAAAGATGATCAATGGTTTCTAGATATTTATCACAGAATCTGCATTTTGGGCTAACACAATATTTTAGTATATGTGCTTCATAATTTCTAATTATTATTATTATTATTATTATTACATTTGATATCCTCTTCGATTGTTAGGTTGTTCGGCCAGATGATAATCGTTATAACTTTGATTCTACCAGCTTCTTAGGAACACAATTTTCCCCAGCACATAAGCTGCTCTAAGCAACACTGCAACCTTCGACTTCCAATGTCAGGTATGTGCAAGACGTCTTGTAAAATGGAATAAATATTCCTGAATATAGTGTGCCATCACAAAAGGAATGCTGATGTTTGGGTAATCTGTTTTTTTTTTCTATTTCGATTTCCAGGTCTTTGTACTTCGATAGTTTTTCAAATTTCCTAATTGCTATATTACAATCCGCTGGGAAAGCCATATCAATTAGCAGGCAAGTTTTTTATATTTCTTTTCGGCTTTAGATAATTACGTAGGCCCTATTTTCCTCAATCTCGCTGTCTGTAATTATTATTATTATTATTATTATTATTATTATTATATTTCTTTTGTATACCAATGACATTGCAAATTCTTCTTTGGATTTTATTTAGAGGTTCTTGATAAAAACCAAAGAAGAATCAGCAATGTTATTGCTCCTGACCTGGCATCTCAGCATCAGCCAAATTCCCACCACCTTAATGTAGCTTCCCTTTGCCTTTTCTATGAATACTTCATTGATAATTTTTCTAATGAAATCCCATCTATGTTACCTAGGCTCTATGAATTTAAGCGCATTACTAGATTGATGGAAATGGCTCATCATTTTACAGTTGAAATGGATAGATTTAACCGTAATTTCTACACTAAGAGTTTCTTCTCTCACGCTTCCCGCTTGTGAAATTTTCCTCAACCTTTCTGCTTCCCTTCAAAAATGTAAAAGCAATGTCTATCGTTATTTTCTATCTCCTTAATTTTTTCTCATATTCTCTAACACTCAGTATCTCCCTGCGTCCTAGGAACTTTATTGCCTTGCTTGGTGTTCAAATTATTAAAAATAATACTTATTTTTTTCACGATCCCAATCAGAGATATAGGTCTGGAATGGAATCTTTGCATATTACTGTAAAAAGAAATGTGGGGGGATATATATTTTACTTAGATAAAACCATTCGTATGGAAATACTCTTCTTGTAACTATTAATTTCTCTATTTGAAAAACTGGCTTGCCAAAGATCTTTTTAACGAGCATATATGCATATTTCCTAATCAAACCCACGCACCGGTCAAAACTGAAATATATGATGTCTTCATGTGTGACATTCTTGAAATTTCTACTTAAATGTCCTTTGTTTTAATATTTTTTGGAAGATCGTTAAAACTATATTACAATTATGATTACTATTAATATTGTATGCGATATCCTCTTGCCAGAAATTAATTTTAAGTGCCGAATTACCAAGTCCTCTCCGGAGTCCATGATTAAAAAGTTCACTGTAGGTGAGTTCTCTATGCACAGAGGGTTTTGCGAATGATATGTGCAGCACCACAGAAAGTAAGCTTTTCTAGTTCTGAGATACTGATGTGTCCATCGATTTTACTCATAATTTTTGGCAATCTTTTTTATCAAATCCAATGCCCCAACACAAGAGAATCATAATTTTAAGCTTCGATATTTTTCATATTTTGATTTTATGGTCATTGACAGTTTTTGAATTTCTTTTTTACAAATCCTGTGTGGAAATGATATGGATGAGTTGATAAGTATGTTTTTAAAAATATTCTATGACTGTCTGTTCCATTTGCATCCATATTCATGCCAATGAAGATTGGGAAATTCCACAGTATAGACATTCCATCGTCATTTTTGATATCATTCGGGTGGTGTATACTGTATGTTTACTGGACTTCAATGACATCTTTAGAACAGATATGCCAATGAAATACTATATCCTACCCTATCATTTTTAATAATGTATTCTTTCTTAGCAAGGACTGCGCACCCTGATACTTTGTAGTTAATAGTTTTATAAAATTTATGGTATAAGCGATAGGCGAGGTTTGAGCGATCATTGTTGCTCTTAGCATTGTAGGCATTAACGGGAAGACTTGGGTCTCATGCGGTCATAATAACGAATTCTCCCACTTCTAAGCCATTTATGGATTGGCGATCATCGATATCTGGTTCATTCAAACTGTTTGATTACTGTCTATACAAGGTTTTAAATCAACATTTTTGCTTAAGAGTCATTAATTATTATTATTAACAGTAGTAGAAGTAGCAGCAGTATTAGAATTCGTTTAAAATATAATTCATATTCCCATCTGAAAATTAAACAAACTGCCTTGTCTCGTCATCTCGTGTCAGTTTAAATCTAGGATAGTAATTACGTGGTCTTTTCAATTTTCAAATCTGTAATTACAAAGCAGATTCCATATTAAATCTAAATCAGTAAGTCTACTGCTGTGTCATATCTCCGTCCATCCTGGCTAAAAGGCAATGGCGAACTTGTCAGCTCAACAGATATAGAATTTAGTTTAATTTAATTTTCCATTCGAAATATATTCTTTATCTGTCCTGCCAACTTTGATGACGCAGTGTACTTTTCGTGAAGTGTTCTTTACTCGAAATCACTCACGATTTTAATAAACGTTTTAATTGATTTATTCAACTCTGTTTAAAAAGAAGCGGAAGAATGTTCTACTGCGCCATGTCTGGAATTTAGATTTCATGTTAAGATATCAGATAATCGTCTGAAGTAAATAAAGCGGTTATATTTTTAATATTGTCCGAGATTTACTTGCACTTATAAAACGTAGATGGTGTACAAAGCTACGACAGTATATTCGAGAATAAAGATGCAACTAATTTATGTCCCACATTCGTATACACAGCATTTTCTTCCTTCTCAGTGCACTTAACCATAAACTTCTTTATTTGTTTTAACTAAATTGCACCCATTAAAAGGCTGGGGTTCCCCTCAAGGTAGAGAGATACACTGAAAACTGGTAATGACGAATATGCTTCTTTTTTTTATGAATGAAACAGAAACATACCTCAGGATGTGATGTGAATGTAACAGGGTTACAACGTCGTATCTGGCCGATGAAAGATTTTTGCAACTAGAATTTAAGTCAAAAGTTAAGGTACCAACTAATGAATATAAGGTGGAAAGATATAGGTTGACTCTTAACTTGACGAGATCAATATTATGCACCTACGGGAAAATCTGTTCTATAAAGTTCTGTGATAGGAACTACTTCCTTACATCGAGGAAATCTGGTGATTCGGATCAGCGAAAATGCATGACGTTTCCTCACTGTAAACTAAAGAGGAGAGATAATTCTGGATAATTTCTATGAATATAGCAATAGATTTAGCAACAGGGTTGCAACGTTGCGTCTGGGGATGGAGGATTTTTAATGAAATTTCAGTAGTGCTAAATTAGATAGATAGATATATTTCAAAACAGTGAAATACATATATATGCACACACAAGCATATATATATATATATATATATATATATATATATATATATATATATGTATGTGTGTGTAAGTATAGGATTGGTGTATACGAAAGAAATTCCAGTAACCAACAAATACTATTCTTAAAATAGTGTTCAATACAGAGTAAAGCAAATATAATTATTTATTCGAAAATTATAGCAACACCATCACTTTATAAGACACCAGATGTGTTGAAACTAAATGGTTATTTTTAGTGATTTTATAACATATTTCTGTTATAATTTTTGAACATTATATATATATATATATATATATATATATATATATATATATATATATATAGAGAGAGAGAGAGAGAGAGAGAGAAGAGAGAGAGAGGAACTCGTCTTTCTCTAAAAAAGAATGCGAGGCTGAACGAGACTCCATAATTGTTCCTTCACGGGAGATACCTAAGCATGGACGCAGCTCTCCGCTAAAATTTCTAGCCAAAGAATTCATGGAAACGTCTTCGATGGACAATTATGCCGGGAGAGAAATGGATCCACACGATGTTCTCTTGGATAAAATTCAAGCAATAGAACAGTAAAAGATGTGCCGGACATTATCGTCATAAAATCTTGTACGTATATCAACACCGAACAGTACGTTTACAAATATGACAAAGAACGTATCATATTACGAATCTAAAGAGCATCTTTCGATATGATATTAGTCTGCGCATTAAGGAATATACATTCTTTCTGATAGGCACAACATCAGCTTTCTTTTCGCTGAACGCCAATCTTTATGATGAAGTGATCCATTTAATGTTTTCCGATAATAATTGATCTATATTAACAATTATGTGCTTTTCATTACTTGTTTGTTTCACCATTTCAAAATCATCTATGCGTGTATCTTTTTTTTGATTCATTTTTATATATTCATACATCTAAGCAACTAAACATAACCAGGCTATTGCAAAGGAAATTCAAAATTTGATTGCAATTTTTTCAGTTATTTTGTGATCTATCGGGTCATATACGCATGCTTACTTTCCAGCAATATTTTGTTTTAGATGTTATCAATGAGTTCAGTAAATAATATTCAGAAAGAAATTTTGTATATATGTCCAATCAATGACATTACCTCCTTTACAAGTAATCAAATCGTTTGAGATTCATTTTTAATTTTCTTAAAATTAAAAATGTTATATTATTTTATTCAATAATCGTTTAAAATTAAACAAGGCCACACCAAGTTTGATTCTGAAAGTTCTCGACTGCCATGTTCATATAACAAATTACCTTTTTTTTTTAATATATTAGGCTGTCCCATAAGAATGACGTATTTTGATAAATAACAAAAAAAGGAAAATTTCATTTAATTTTACTTATTTCTTTCTTTATTTTATTTAATAAAACCATATCACTTTTGTTCCACAGTTTTATTCCAATATATCTCTGAGCTATTTATACAATAAAAAAACATTTCGTCTTAAACTGTTTAAATGTTTCGACTACTTCTTCAGTTTAAGAGAATCTCTTGATGCCTATGAAAAGCTCAAAGTATTTATATAATTTACAATCTATGGCACAGATATCTAATGAAATAGTTGAATGATCCAAAATCTAAAAAATGGCTGTGAAACTTTTGAACAATTGAACAATAAGTATAAAGGCGTGTTTTGTCGCATTCACAACGTTTCGGCATTTGTACGTACCGGCTTTCTTCAAATGATATTTGTTTGAATTTCGGACCGAAACTAAAACATTCATCCTTCACATTCCTGGGTCACTCAGCAAATGAAATGGAACAAATTGTCAGTGACTTTACTGAGCGACCCATGAATATGGAGATTATATGCCAGCCCATTTCTGCAATTAAACATGGAAAGAACCTCCAAACAAACGTCATGAAACCAATTTTTAGAAACGCCAAAATACAAAGTGACTATTCTGTGTTTGGTTCTAAATTCAACACATATCACCTGAAGAAGGCCGGAGAGTACAACACCCGAAACGTTGTGAATGTGATAATAGAGATGAGGACAACCGTTGGAACAATGAAAGTAATATAAATAGTTCCAATAACTTATCTCAGAAATATATAGACTGATGTTGATTTACCTTGTAGCAAACAGAAATAACGAATGACGAGTTTAGTCGAATATTATTCATTAATAATGATCTTTTTTGATGTGTTGGTTTGAGGTGATGCGTTGGAGACTTATCAGCATCTAACCACTGCCTTGTTCATTTACTGGTGTCAAAGACTATCCATTTATCACCGCAAATAATAATTCGATGCATAAATGATTCACTTTCAAGTTTAGAGAGCAACATGGCTGACACATCTAAGTGTCACTTTCTTTGAGTATTAGTCAACCCATGAGGAACAAACATATCCACCTCCTTAAGTTTTCCAGTTGCTTTTAAATGCTGATGGATAGACGTGCGAGATGTTCTCTGTTCTCCTAAAAGTTTCTGACAGATGCTTTCGGCTTTATTGGAAGAAATGCTTTCAATTAATAATTTTTTTTCTTATTTCCTCGTTTCCTTTTCAAGGCTCTCTTCTCCTGAACGGAGATTCTGAAACCATCCCTGTTTTAACATTAACAATACTGCAGCCAATTGTCAAGCTGATGGTTCAGTGATTGGCTGGTTGGGTTTTATGGCATATCAACCACTGTAGCTCATTTAATGACAAATTAACTTTTATATATATATATATATATATATATATATGTTTATCAAATCCTCCTACTTATTATATGTGTTTATCGTTGCTTGATCCGGCTTCTAATGCTCCAGTTGGCGCGGCTTGGTGAGAGTAGTCGTGGCTCCCGGGGGCACAGTCTTATGGTTATATAGCGAACTCAGGAGAGTTCCGCCACGGAATATGTGAGTGAGCGGCGCTATGTTGAGTCTGATATGAATCTCTTCGGTGTCGAGGCCCGGTTGGTACAGTTGGTATGTTGTCTGCTTGACAACCCAACTGTCAGGGTTTAGATACCTGGTGGTGGATGCGCACTGCTGATGAGTCCCAATTATAGGACGAAACGGCCGTCCAGTGCTTCCTCTATTTTCCTGTTGTGGTTTATATCAGACTCAATGAATTTATATATATATATATATATATATATATATATATGATCGAAATAAAAGTATAAAATTTAATATTACAAGACATATTAAATTTTTTTTTGTTTTTTTTTTATTATTTAATATGTTTTAATATGTCTTGTAATATTAAATTTTATACTTTTATTTCGATCATTAAATTTTGTACCTACAAAAATATCTTTAAATATATATATATATAGTACTATTAAACGTATAGCTGGCAACATTATTCTTTCCAAAAGCGTATAGCTGACAACTGTAATGGCTGCCAACATTATTTTTTTTCCAAAATGGTATAGCTGGCAACATTATTTTTTCAGAAACGTATAGCTGGCAACATTATATTTTTTCAGGAACGTATAGCTGGCAACATTATATTTTTTCAGAAACGTATAGCTGGCAACATTATATTTTTCAGAAACGTATAGCTGGCAACATTATATTTTTTCAGAAACGTATAGCTGGCAACATTATATTTTTTCAGAAACGTATAGCTGGCAACATTATATTTTTTCAGAAACGTATAGCTGGCAACATTATATTTTTTCAGAAACGTATAGCTGGCAACATTATATTTTTTCAAAAACATTATCTGAGGCCTTCATGTTGGACGTAATTTATCGTCATACCCAGGACGCGGATTTAATTTATCGCCATACCCAGGACGCGGATTTAGTTTATCGCCATACCCAGGACGCGGATTTAGTTTATCGCCATACCCAGGACGCGGATTTAGTTTATCGCCATACCCAGGACGCGGATTTAGTTTATCGCCATACCCAGGACGCGGGTAAGGTCTGGAAAAAACTGGGAGTTCACTATTTGCCCATAGCTGGGACCCTAACAGGTGCTACCAACCCTGGTCAGGGTGGACCTGGGAACACCAGCAATTAAGAGGTGGTAACCACGCTCCACAAAATCTGATCAGAAGCCTTGCTGTTGGATGTAGTTTAACGCCATACCCAGGACGTGTTTCAGTGAACTTTTTTTTTATCAATATGGCCCACATCGAATTTCTTTTCAAAAAATTCTATGAGAACAACCATCTGTAAACAAAATAGCAAAGAAACAATTTTTGTAAATTTTTATGAAAACTAAATTGAAATTTCTTGGTAGGCTATTAATTTAAATCTAGGCGCCTCTTTACAATTTAGAAACTTAAACAATACATTGAAGGTGTTACCCAATACATCGCTAGTGTTTTTCTTTCCTTTATATTGAACTAAGAAGCAAATGCTCACCTTGAATTTGCTTGCTACTCGACAATGGCGAAATATGATATGAAACCAATAATTTAATGTGCGAAATCCATATCCCCAGATGATACGAACATGACACTTTTTAACGTGGGCCTTTCAAAATATATCTTGTTTATTCGTGCTTTGCTCCAGACATAACTGTATATTCCTTTATTCCTCTGGGAAGAATGGGTATCTATTTATGTGCTACTGCTCACAATATGACCCGATGTTGTTGATTTATGTGTCAGACGAATGTATATCAACCAGATAAGAGCCAAAAGTGTCGGCAGCATTTTAAGATGATTGCCTTAATAAATACCAGCTTTTCTTAAATGCAGAAACACCATAATATATGCATCCTGGGTATGACGATAAACTACGTCCGCGTCCTGGATATGACGATAAACTACGTCCGCGTCCTGGATATGACGATAAACTACGTCCGCGTCCTGGATATGACGATAAACTACGTCCGCGTCCTGGGTAAGACCTTAAACTACGTCCACGTCCTGGGTAAGACCTTAAACTACGTCCAACAGCAAGGCCTCTGCTAAGTTTTTTAAAAAATAATTTTGCCATCTATACGTTTTTGAAAAAATAATATTACCAGCTATACATTTTTGAGAAAAATATATTAACAGAAATGAATTTTTGACAAAAGAAAAATATTACAAGGAGAAAAAAAAGTTGTCGGCATTAAATGACCCATTGAAGATGGTATGCCGTAAAACAAACCAAACCAAATCATAATATATACCGAATTGTAATCGGAAGAAAGAGGAAGAACTGACTTGAAGAATGCAACGTTATCAGGATAGAAACAGCTTACTGGCCAAGTGTTTGTAAGTGAAAAAGAACCGCTAAGCGATAGAATGATAAACAAAAAATACTGTAGATGACAAGATGTGTTCGTTGCCTGACATATAGAAATCTGTTCATATTAGGTTGAAAGTTTTTACAGTTTATCAATCTTTTGCGGGTTATTTAAAACCATAGATTCTGTTTTGATTTTTACGAATTTTTTGAAAATAATAATGATTGATTGATGCAAACTGGAGAGAGAAGAGGTGGATTCATAGCTTTCTCAAGAGTATTTGCGCCTAAGTGAATATAACGAACCGAACTGCAAATTGAACACGATTCCGCGATTCTGTATTCCGAGCAGTTATCTATCACACCATAAACGCATCCAATCTTACAGCACCGTGTATTCCCAAATAGTCACCTATTTAAATACAGATGTGACGTGATCCTGGTCACGGCAACAAATGTGACGTCACCCCGGCCTCTCTGTCCCCGTGCTATCATGTGACGACCAATGTGACTTGGTATTGGTCGCGGCGCCAAATGTCACGTTCTAACCCCTGGCTGATTCGGATGGGAATCTGGTTAGATTCGGTATCAGCTTTGTCGTTCCCAGCTCGCCTCCAACGTCTGGTTACCGAAGTAACTGCTTAGATTTCTCGTCTAACCTACCCACGTTGTGATTTGATCTTAGGTTGACGAAATCAATCAGTCGCTGGGCCGCAATGCAAGCCGAACTCGAGCAAAGGTGACACCGCACAAGTATATGTAAAAGAAAATAAAGTAACAACTCGAAAAGTTTAAATGTGTTAAAAAAAGAATAAATATTTTTTATATCTGGTTGCTGAATACAGGACTACTTCTTTCTCCCTAACCGCTAATATGGATACGTGACAATTTGCGTTTGTTAGGCGAGTCTTAATATCTTAAGTTGTTTTTGAATAACTGTTTTTTGTATCTTCAGGCGATATTCGTAAGACTTGTTTTGGTGGTGTGAGTCTAAGTCGTTCTTCAAAAATAAATTGTTTTTGGTTAGAAGTCTAAGTCGGAAGGCGTGGATATCTTTCAGTCAGCTTCCTGCGAGGCTGGTCTCAGAGCTCACAGCTCAACTCTGTCTGCGTCTGTTCGCGTCTGCTGTCTTCGCGGAACTCTGCGGAACTCTGCCCAACTGCCGCTGTCTATTCCGTTTATATAGACGCCGACAAAAACCGAGTGTGACCTGTCGTGGTTTGGGTTCCTCGATAATTCTTAATCCACGATAAGCATTTTCTTTGTTTTCGGACAGGAAAATTTATCACTTTCCATTTTTGGAAGTCCATTACTTTCTGCTTTAGAGGGGGTTCTTAAGGAAATCGTCCTCCCAAATTCTTCCTTTCTCATATTGGTATCTCACACCACTCCCCTCAGAGGCGTCAACAGGCCTCCCGTCGTTCTCATATGTTTACCTTTACCCACCGCTCACGCCACCACTCAGCCAATGAACGCTTGGCATCTTGGGTGTGGCTAGTCTGGCCTCAGTTTAAAAGTATCGCTCAAAAGAAAAAAATATCTTCCTTTTTTCTTTTCTTTCTTTTCCTCCACCAGACCCCTACGACTCGTAGTGTGGTCGTTAATCTCTATCTTAACCGAATGTCATCTGGAATTTATCAACGAGATTTTCGCCAAGCGTCAAATGGGTGGTCATCTGGACGTCTTCGCACCCTTTCGCCAGCGATCTCTCCTGGCAACAAACTTTTATCATGTCCAGGTCTGGATATAAAACAGGTGTCTCTCCAAAACCAAATGATATCTCCGAAAGATAGTTAATGGTTTATTCGTTTCCCTTCTCTTTTCACTTCCTTTTTCTTTGTGGGTGGTCGCGATTATCTTCCAGCATTCTGTTTTGTAGGCCACTTGACCAATTTGAAATTTTCGTCATTGCCATGGGCAGATTGTTATCTTTTATTCGCTGCGTCATAGCATAAATTAATTCCAACAGATCCGAGATCTTACGAATTTCCAATCTTCTACGAGAAAAAAAAAAACTTTTTCTTCGCAAATGAAAATAAAATCTTTACCACTTTTCTTTGTTAAAAAAAAAATAACATCGCTCAGTATGTCTTTCGTGATAGCTTCTTCTCGCCTTAATTATTTCTCGCTTTTAATTTTCCCGCAACCGCTAAATAGTGTCACACTGACCAGTCTAGAAGTTAACTTCGGAGATATTACGGGGGCCGGTGTTTTAAAGTATGTTAGGCTGAATAATTTCATTTTTTGTTTCCCATTTTTTTTCTGAACTTTGTTTCAAAAAATAAAGTGTAATTCTATTTATTCAATATATATATATATATATCCAGCATTACTTACAGTGAAACCTTGCCTTTTTGATGAAGCAGCTTTTCAAAAGCTTTTGAGGAAAATTTAACTGGTTGATATGAAAGCTTTCGACACATTCTGGAATCAGGTTTTCATTATGGAAAGGTTTCTTTATTAAAACGTTTTTTCCACGTTCGGGAAAGTAAATAATCGGTTCGTGTAAAGTCAGGTGAATACGCAGTATTTAGCGTTTCATTGTTTTTAAGAACTCTTAATGACTAATGCTTTATCTATACCACCACACGCGCAATATGACCATTCTTGCAAGGAACTCAGGGTTTTGATTCGATTGTGGATATTTAGAAT